TACATTGTTCAAAATGCCAAAGAGAATACTATATACCTGGAAGTCACCAGCAGATCAAAGAGAGAGAATTGTAAGAAAACAAATAGACTATGTATTAGTTAGGCAAAGATACAGGAACGCAATTATATCCGCAAAAACCTATCCAAGTGCTGACATGGGATCAGATCACAACCCAGTATTGACCAAAATTAAGCTCAAAATTAAAATAATAAATCGAAGAACAAATACAAAAATCGATACAAGTAAATTAAGGAACCCACTCATAGTGCAACACCTGGCGAATGAAATCAACAAAAAAACAAATTCTGCAAAATACTGAGACAGATAACAAATGGATATTAATAAAGACAAATAGGTAAAAATCAAAAAGAAATTCTAATATCAACCAGATATAAAAATAAGCAATGGATGACGGAAGAAATTTTAGATTTAATGGAAGAAAGACATTAATATAAAAACAAAGATAATCTGATGTACAAAAAAGTGGATAAACAAATAAAATACAGAATTAAGTTACAAATACGAAACAATGGTTACTCTCCACCTTTTTTGCTATCCCTAAAAATACAAACGCTAAATATTGTAGTGAATACAGAACAATATCACTAATAAGTCACATTCTCAGTATTCTCTCATGGTGGTATAAATAAAAAACTGGAAGAAGGAATAGGTGATAGTCAGTTTGAGTTCAGAAACGGACTAGGAACCAGAGAAGCGTTTTTTGCTTTTAATGTGTTATATGCATGGATATGAATGTTGATGTGCATGTTTGTTACGTTGATTTTGAAAAAGCATTCGACAAAGTAAGACATGAAAAAATAGTCCAAATTCTAAAGATAAAAAACATAGACCATAGAGACTTACGAATAATAACAAACTACTGGAATCAAAGAACACAAATCGTAATAGATAACGAACCCAGTCCAGAAATTGAAATCAGGAGAGGAGTTAGGCAGTTGTGTATTATATGCCCATTACTATTTAATGTATATAGTAAAACCATTTTTGAAGAAGCATTACTATCTCAAAGTGAAGGAATAATAATTAACGGAAGAGCTATTAACAACATAAGATATGCAGATGACACCTTGATTATGGCAAGCTCTGCTGAACGACTCCAATTACTGCTAAACAAAACAAACAGTTCTGTGAAAAATATGGACTGAAAATGAATATAAAAAGACCAAATACATAATAATAACAAAGAAACAAGTATACCAACAAACATACATTTAGGAAATGTACCGATAGAAAGGGTTGATAAATACAAATACCTAGGAACCGGGATTTCAGACAATAATGATCAAACAATCTAAATAAGAGAGGATAGAAATAGGCGTTTGAAAAAATGAAAACAATTATCTGCAACAAAGACGTTAGATTGGAACTGAGAGTAAGAGCACTGAGATGCTATGTGTTTTCGATACTGCAATATGGACTTGAAAGCTGGATATTGAAGCAAGAACACATAAATAAGTTACAGTCCTTTGAAATGCGGTGTTACAGGAAGATGCTTAGAATAGCATGGACACAGAAGAAAACTAACACGGAAGAATTGCGAGAAATGGGCAAAGAATGCGAAATAATAAACACAATGCAAATAAGAAAGTTACAATATCTGGGACACGTAATGAGAGGACGGCGATATGAATTGCTAAGGCTGATAATACAGAGAAAGATAAGAGGAGGAAGGAGTATAGGAAGAAGGAGAGTGTCATGGTGGAAGAATTTAAGAGACTGGTTTAAATGCAGTTCTATAGAACTCTTCAGAGCAGCAGTAGATAGGGTAAAGATAGTGATGATGATATCCAGCTCCGATTGGGAGACAGCACTTAAAAGAGATTTTAGACATCCATTTCACCCAATGCTTGGCTCCAGGATAATAGAAATGAACTTCTTTCTTTGAAATTCCACCTAAAAAATCACTGTCAACTCTAAGAAATCTAGAGAATTTTAGTCATGGAAGCTGCTTCAGAATTACTTCTCATTACCTCATCAAACACAGATCCAACTATGAGTTCCAAAATGTGATAGCGACAGGCTTAAAAAGCAAGTTCTTTCCCAACTTAAGCTTAAGAGTGATGAATGTTCAAGATTTCGGCCCTGTGTTAAATGTAGTAGTATCGAAACAGAGCGGCGACTTGATGAACAACACCCCATTCCTGCAAACATTCCAAAATGCCATTTGCCTGTACAATTCCTGTTCAACTGTGTAATTTTGGAACACCCAGCAGCTGTTCATATCAATCATTGAAATTTTACACAAAACAGGACGGCGATCCACATGTTCCTTAGAAGTTAAGTCCTCTATTAACCCACCGTCCCAGTGAATAATAACAGGGTCGGAAAGAGATTGATGAGACCAACAAGATTGCATCATGACCAAGACTGGATGTTACCTCATTAATAATGAATGTCGCTTTCCTGGACGACACCTGTGTTCTATCAAGTGCAGACGAAAGTTCACAAGTCATAATTTAGTGCGGTCGCAGCCTCACCAACTTTAGCATTATGATTATTGTATAAGCCCATTTCAATTTTACTTGACGATAATAAGGTAGGTAACAGCTGAACTGGGAATGACATAATATCCATGTCGTGTTGTGATCGCATTCGATAAAGGTTATCACTTTCAACGCGTTTCTCAATTCGACGTTTTCGTTGCATTTTAACCACATCCAAACCTGCAATGCATTTTGGATGGCCTTTTTGCCTTTGCGAGAGTAAAAATTCTCTGTCTTCTGTGATCGTAGTTATATTCAAAGTATTTGTATGGTCTATATCGAAAATATTCACAAGGCGTTCAACAAACTTTGCTTTCTTCTCTTTGTGAGTCTCTTTTTTTCGATTTTTGTGTTTTCGGATACCTTTTCATTCTCCGAAAATTTTCTCCAACTTTGCAATACTATGTTGAGCAGGCTTAACGGAAACACTAGCTTTATCCCAGAAACCCGACTACTAGAATGACATCTCTCGCAGTTTCCCGAATAGTTTTCTTTTCTACTGTATCTCTTCTTATGGTGCCCTATCCAATTAGTGGATGTTGGCGACAATTCTGGAATACTCCTCTCGATCTTGTGTGGTTCTAAAAAGTGCATGGGCATCGAGATTTGTCCAATCCCGTATGTTTTTAAGCCATGAGTATTTCTTTCTTTCGATGCCTCGTTTTCCTTCGATCTTCCCTTCCATAATAAGCTTTAAGAACTGGTACTTGGAATTTCGAAATATATGACCCAGATAAGCAGTTTTTCTTCTTTTTATTATTGGCAGCAATTCTCGTTCTCTGCCCATTCGATTTAATACTTCGACATTTGTTGTGTGATCTGTCCAGGGAATTTTAAGTAGTCTTCTAAATACCCACATTTCAAAGGCCTCCAATCGGTTCATCACATTGGCCTTTATGGTCCAGGTTTCTACACCATATAGCAGTATGGAGTAAATGTACATTTTACAAAGCGATATCGAAGCATTAAGTTGAGACTGCTGTTGCTTAGCAAGGTTCTCATATTAGTAAATGCTGTTCTGGCTTGCTCAATCCTGCTACGAATCTCTATGTCTGGATCTAGATCTTCAGTTATCCAACTACCGAGATATCTGAACTTGGGGACCTTTTGGATGTTCTTGTTGTTTACTTTTATATTCAATTGCATATTTCGTGTTCTACTAACCACCATTAGCTTCGTCTTGTCTATATTAATCTTCAAGCCCAGTCGTTCTCCTTCAGTGTATATTCTATCTATTAGTCGTTATAGCGCTTCTTGACTATCAGCTATTATGACTGTATCATCAGCATAGCGAAGATTACTAATAGTCTGTCCTTTGATTTTGATTCCATCTTCAGTGTCACTTAAGGCTGTATCGAAAATCGTTTCAGAGTAAAGATTAAAAAGGAGGGGTGACAGAACACATCCCTATCCTACACCTTTTTCGATTGAGAAATATGATGTAGATTCCAGTCCTACTCTCACAGATGCCACTTGATTCATATAAAGGTTCTTTATGATTTTAAGGTCATTCTCATCTATCGAACGTTCCTGGAGCAATCTTATTAATTCTGAATGATTAACACAATCTAATGCTTTCTGGTAATCTATTCTACTGTATTCTTCTACCGTATGACGGTACATAAAGCCTCCGAAAGCTTGCCTTTTAATGGTAGTTTTGCTCTCAAAATTTCGTGTTCATACGAACCAAACAAATACATTTCTGTCTGCTTTCTCGTATTCATTATGTATCCCGATGAAATGGAAAAATTGTAAGGAAAACACAAAACAACTCTAGGTTCAGAGTGTTGATGAAATTATGCGTATCTGTAATTAACACCAATAGCAATAAACACACTAACAAAATAGACAAGACTCTTTGTTTTTTCTTTTTAATTCAATAAATTTTATTAATTAAATTTTAATAATGTTTATTCCCGTGCTTAAGTGTAACTGATGATCCATTAATTATTAATATTATTATGCTTTAAATATTTTCCATTATTAGCAGAATTATTTTCGGATTTCAATAAAACTCTATGTTTGGAACAATTTTGGGGTGAGAAGTGAAAATTTTTTAATTTTAATTTTAAGAACCACCCTAATAATCATCGACATTATGTAGTTTAATTTTAAGTTTATTTAAACATTTTAAATGTGAAATAAAGATTTTTATACCGTTTTGTAAGTGGCCTTTTGCAAACGCTTTTGAGTATCATTGATGATGTTCTGGTATGACCGAAAACGTTTTGAACAATTTTGTAATCCTTTTGGACTTTTTCATAATTTTATAAATTCTTATACTGTGTACATGAGAATGTAAATATCGCGTTTTGTAAGTTTTATTTTTGTATTTTTAAACAATGTTATGTAAGAGTTTGTGCCTGTTTGATGATAAATATTCTACAAATGTGTTCTAACAGTTTTACCAAGTTACAACGTTATTTATATACGTGTTCATGCAACAACAATAATATTTGATAGTGTTTATATTAAAAATGACATTATACGTTTCAGATCTCATCCCAGAGATACAGATAGACGATATGATTCGAGGAACAAATCGGAATCTAGGAGAAATGTAGAGAATGGGAACAGGTCAGTATTCAGTATACAATGTGAGGCAAATGTACGCAATGTATGAATTATTTTAAAAGCCACTATAGGGAAAAATTTAGCATTCTTTTGACTATATTTTTGTAAACAGGATATGTAATGAATGAAGAAAAACCGAAATACATGGTGGTAGTAACCAAAAATCGAAGGCCTAGAATTAGACAGAACATAAATCTTAATGATCGCAACTTCGAAGTAGTAAAAGGGTTTATGTACCTGGGCGGTAATCACAGAGATCTCAGCAAGAGTAAGTGCTGGAAATAGAACATTAACATTATTTTAATGTTAAAGGCAATTTAAACTCACACTGTAAAAGTCAATTATTCGCCCAGTTGTTACTTAGGGCAGTGAAACTTGGACCTCAAACAACGGGAAATAAATAAGCTGCTGATCTTTGAAAGAAAGTTTTACAGAGTGAAATTTGGTCTACAAAGAGACGAAATAACAGGAGATTGGGGGCGACGCTGCAATGCTGAATTGGTGACTCTATGATAGTGAAAACATAATCAGATATATAAAAGCTAACTGAGTAGGATGGGCAGGTCATGTGGTAAGATTAGAGGACAAAAGAGTATTAAAATAGTATTTTTTGAGAGGTCAGATAGTAGAAGATCAGTAGGCTGTTCCAGAAAAAGATGGAAGGATGATATCAAAGCTGATTTGTCTAGGATGGGAAATGGAAGTACAAGATCGTAGAAGATGAAGGGCGATAGTGGATGCGTCTGAGACTCATCGCAAGTTGTGAGGTCAGACAAGAAGAATCAGATGATATACGCAAAATTTTGTTTTTAAATTCTTCAATGATTTCGTTTGGTGTTGAAAATCGGTGACTAAGCAATTAATGTTTTACTTATAAAAATGGGAAGACATCACTGTGAGGAGGATGAGACATCGATTCCATGTCTCAGTGGTGGTTTGATGTGCTGTATGGAAACGTGCATTATCCTAATGCAGAATTATTTAACGTGTTTGAAGAAATGTGAGAAAATATATTTATAATATAGTAAGCGAGTTTTCTACAGCTGGCGCCCTGTCTTGCATCCTAGTTTCCAGCTTTTGCTGTCGAAGCAATGTTCAGTTTTTAAATCTCCAGCGGTCATTTCTTCAACATCTTCTCTCCAGGACCGTCTTGGTCTACCCCGTTTCCTTCTAGTGAGCTGGGTTCATTTTTCTATCTTTTTTGGCCATATATTTTTAAGCATTCTCTGCAAGTGACCATACCAGTTTAGTCTTTTGGCTTTAATCGTGTCCATTATGCCTAGATAAATTGCCGTTTCGCTCCAAATATCTTCGTTACTCAACTTTAGTGAGCCAATATCGTCTTCAATGGTTCATTTTCATGGCTTTAAGTTTGTATTTGTTTCTTTGTCACATGTAATGTCTAGTGGCTGATTTTGCTTGATCAATTCTGGATTGTATTTCTTCGGTACTCCCGAGTACCGGACTCACAAGTATTTAAAAGTTTTGATTTTATAGTTTCCATTTCAATTTCTAGGCGTTATGGTTTTCCCCTGCAGCTAAGTACTTGGTTTTTTGTATATGGATTGTAAGTCTCCACTCGGTGTACTCGAGTTTTCTAAGCATATAGTTTATATAGTAGTTTATGTCACTCTCGTCTTCCGCTAAAATGACTTGATTGTCAACGAAGTGGATCGTGTAGAATATTTCGCTTTCGATTGGGATGCCCATATTGCGGCACTTCCTCCTCCAGAAGTTGTGAGTAATGTTCCATCCAGGATCTTTCTTCTATTAAATATTATTCTACTCGTTTCTTTTGTGTTTGTTCTAAGTCTTTTGACCGCGTTTGTTAGAAGGCTTTTGACCGTTTTCCATGCTTCTCTTCATCTTGTTGATCCTATAAATTTGTTTTTCGCATTTACTTTCCCGGAAGGTATTTTTTGATTTAGTTACTAGATTTTTTACTTATCTGTTTAATCTTGCATATGTTCGTCTACCATTTGGGTCACTTGTTTGCAGCCACTTTTGATATGTTTGTTTCTTGTTGTGTACTGCATTTCCGATCTCATTTCTTAAAAAAGTTCGGTTGAACACGGTCATATACCACATCGCATTTACAGTCATACGATATTACAATAGAATAGTAGACACAGTTTTCGTGGAAAAACTGAGACCTGGCGTGACTTTCGTTGGTTTTTATTTCGTCTTGAAACATCCAATCCCTGAATTGTTGTTTGGTTTCCACATTGTATAAATCCAAGTTTTATTGCCACTAACATTTTTTTATGCCACAATTGATGTCCCTAAAGTAATTCTTTGCATAATTTTACACAAGATTGTTTTTTGATATTCGTTTAAATTGTGTAGAATTCTAACCACACCTAAGTGATCATGCCAAATTTGATTTATGTGTTTCATGTCGATACTATTTTTAGATCAACTCATGTCCCCTTTGTTCCAGTCGACAGTAAAATGAAAATTCACGACTTAAGTCCATGTTTTTTTAATTATTGTTTACTTCCAAATTCTACTGTCATTGATGATACAGCTCAATATTATTATATTTTGTCACTTTTCAATAACGTTACAAATGTCAAACTGCACGAATATTTATGCCCATACCAATGGATAGAATTAGTAGCTATCAATTCTTTTTCCAAACAGCGTTACTAACGGTTGCTGACTTTAAATAGTTATTTTACTCGATCGCAATCATACGTCCACAATAGAAAGATGCGAACTAACTTGAAAAAATGCAAGGGCAACGAATATACCCTCGGTCGCATAAGAATGCCTGTCAATTTATTGCAAAAGTTTTCTTTAAGGAAATAATAAAGAATGTTTTATTTTTTCAGCGATAGGAGGTTTAACAATAACAAATTTAACAGTAACAAGTTTAATTCACCACAAGCATCGCGAAATGAAGATAATAGAGTCTCAGAAGCAAATTTGGAGGATGAAGAAACCTGGGATGTAAGTATCGATATAATCAAGTTGGCACCACAATTTCTGTCCAAAACTCTCCTAAGTGCCATACTTATAACCCATTATAAATTATTTTATTTTATTAAAATTTTATTTATACATACGGCTCACACTCTTCTCTAAGGGGAATCAGATACCAACGGTATCAAAAGGATTAAAGCTCTATTGGGACTCTTTCCGTGTTATCGAGCCCTAGGTGACTTGTTATGCTGAAGTATCTCCTAAAAATGTTCGAACACATCTTCACGTCTGGGTACTTTCCGTTCTCCATTGTCTCCTGATTTGTATTTCTAGTTCTCTGTACTTGGCGATCTTTTTGTTGCATTTAACACGTAAATTATTGGTGTTATGTATGGCCATGTCAATAAATGTTGTTTATCTAGTAAGTTTATTAACTAGTATGAGATCCGGTCTATTATGTGCCGCTGGTTGGTTTGTGCGGTCCTTGTATAGCTTGTAGTTGTCATTTTCAATATTTTTCTGTCAGGGACGTATTGATAATAAGGAAGATGGTCGGTTTGGAGAAGTTCCAGTTTGCCAGCTAGTTCTTGGTGGATAATCTTTCTTACTGAGTCACGGCGTTCTTTATAATCAATACCATGACATCAATATAACCAATACATGGCAGCCACCGGTAAGATGTTGGATGATTTCTTGGGCTTGGCATCCATATCGGCATTTGTCATTTTGGACTCGGAGATTTGTAATAATATATTTTATGTAATTTTTAGTTGGAATAACCTGATCCTGAATGGCAAGCAGGAAACCCTCAGTGTCGGGAAACATCTTTCCTGAATATTTTGACGCTGTATTGTGGACATATTCTTGACTGATCTCATTGAGATGTCGCCCATGCAGAGGTTTACAAATCCAGGTGTGCATTTTTCTTGCCTAGTCAGGTAGTTTATGCGCATTTCTTGATGCCTCAGTGTAAGTGGCGTTGTATCATCTACTGAGCAAATTGCTCGATGTAAAGTAGATGTCTCAGCCTGTACCTGAAACTAAGTTCTTAAATAAGCAATCTGTTTATCCACTTGCTCATCTATGTCCATAAGTCCTCTTCCTCGTTGATACCGCGGTAATGTTGTTCTCTCTACTGCACTGCGTGGATGGTGTTTTCACGCCTTTGTGAGAAGTTCATTGACTTTAATATTATTATGTATTATTATTTTAATTTGCCATCCATTAAAAATGTAAGTCGTTGAGCGAGTTTGATAGGAGGTTGATAGTTGGCCTAAGAGAAGGCGGACTTTCTTTTTGGCAAATTGTGAATAGAGTTCACAGAAGTTTAGTTACTGTGTTAAGATGCTATTGGACATGGCGTCTAGAAGGCTGCATATGAAGATCTTCATGGCAACCTTTCGCCTAAGAAAGATGGCTCTTAGAGGCCGCTTTTTCGCTATCAGGTCTATTTAAATCAATGGTTTGCAAAACATTGGGATGCGAACAATTTATCGTCAAATTCAAAATTTTGACTTTTTTCATTTTGGCTACTCGTGCTACCTCTTATCCCTGAACATCGACTCTTTAAATAGTGCAAATAACGATTGGCTTGGGACCAGGAATGAAATGAGGTTGTCTTTAGTGGTAAATCTCGCTTCTATTTACGGATGAATGATGGCCGATCCAGAGTCAGAATGGACTTTTGAATGAGAGTCGCCATGAACTTCTTTGAAAAGAATGGAATCAATATTTTGCCCTAGCCTTTAAGGCCCCCATATTGTCCTCAATTAAATTCGCGGGGGAGACTACTTAATTTAGAGCATTCTCCTCAAACGTTGAGAACAGGATGAGTTAATTAGGGGATGGAACGAGATACCCCAGAAAAATATTAAGCACTTAATCAGAAGACCAGGTGCGTCCAAGAGTGTGTTGCCCACTGAGGTGCATCAACACGTTTATAAACGATAAATATGTAAGTATTTTCAATTTTATTGAAATTTGATCGTTTCTTTATTTTGCTACCCTGTATAATTGTACAAAATATGTTCAAAATATAATAATTTATAATGGATGTTCGGATTTATGTCACTTACTATATTTCCAAAAATTGGTCTAAAATTATTTCTAGTTTTAGATTTCTAGCTTAATTTCTTTTTCTAATATTTCACCGCCCAAAATTCCTATCGTATTTGTAGTAGTGAGACCACCATTAAATGAACTTTTACTGTTTTTTTTTCTACTATATAAGTTGGTGTATTTTTATTTAAGAACGTATCTCTAACCATATCAGAATATATTGAACACCCAGGAGAATTTTCCTGTTATTGATCTTCTGCCGTATTGATTTTCTGTCAATATCGTGGATCAAGTATTTGTTTTATCGCATTTATAATATTGTATTGTACTCTCATCAATAACAAACAGTTAATGTATACATTTTTAATTTGGTTTTAGTCTAATAATCAATCTAATTTAGATGACACCAAAATTCAATCAAATATACAAATGGAAAAGAAATCAAGTAGTGATCTCCCTCAAAAACGTAATGAACAATTCAAAGAAAAACCTGGAGATTCTGATAAAGATAGTAATGTTGAAGCTGATAAAAACACTATTGTTGAAGCTGATAAAGACACTAATGTTGAAGCTGATAAAGGCACTAATGTTGAAGCTCATAAAGACACTAATGTTAAAGTTGATAAAGGCACTAAAGTTGAAGCTGATAAAGAGAGAAATGTTGAAGAAGGGAAGAATAGTTTAGAGACAAAAAAGAATTTAATGGATCATGTAAAATGTTACTTTGAATTACCAAAACCCATTAATACTTTGAAAGATGGAGATCAAGTTAAAATTATTGACCAATTTAATAATCAACTTGTCGTTAAAACTAAAGAATGTTTTGCAAAAAGTAAAGAAATCGTAGAATATATAAAAAATTTGGATAAAGACAGTAAGTATTTTAAGTTCATTATTATCTGTATTTTACATAATTTGCATTTTTTAAAGAACTTAATGTTTTAAGTTATCTTCTTATGATTCACTTCAGCAATTGTTACTTATGATGAAGTTTTACAGTGCATTTTTTAAAAGAACTAATGGTAACGGTATTGGTCAAGTAAATCGTGGTAATTATAGAGCGGCGGACACAAGTCTGTATTAATAGCAGATAATAACACTTCCAGATTGCACTGATTAAATGCCGAGCATCCAATTGTTTCACTGGTGGGAAGGCTACTCTAGCCGAAAATACATCTTTCACGCAACCTCTGCAAATTAATTTATTCAGTCAGTCCTTTATTGATCTTTGAATGTAGATATTTTCATTTCGGAGAATCCCTGTTTGCATATCTTCAATTATACTATGAATATGCTAAATCAAAATCGACTGTTCATCTCAATATTATATGTTAATGTCAAGGCAAAAATAGCTCATGCTTCATTAATTGATAATGGCATTATAATTTTGTAATACTATTGATAAAAGCAGTAGGTAAAAAATGTAAGAAGTTCTTGGAATCATTAAGGGAATATAGAGTTCGAATTCACAAAGCTACTATGGTTTGTTTTTTAACCAGGAGGAGTAAACTAAAAAGACAGATTCACACCCTAGAAAGTTCACCAAATACATCTTCTTTTTGGGTTGATTATCTCGGCCTTGCGATAATCCAGTAATCAGTATCGGACAACCTCACACATCGATTCTAACCTATTTTTGTTTATGTTTGAATAATAATTTTTTCCAATTCACTTCTTATATATATATATATATATATATATATATATATATATATATATATATATTGTTTTTCTAATTACAATAAAAATTCAATATTACTTAATAAAATGTTAATAAACTTCTGTACCTACTATTTTATAGAAGTTAAAAGATTACGTCTGCATCTTATAATATCATCACGGTCAATGAGAATATTTTTTCGACTTCTCTTCAAGTACCTACAAAATAATAAAATGTACGTTTGAATAAAGTTCTTTATCTTCTAATTGATTGCCTAACTCAGACACAATATTAAGATTTTTGTATTGCACTTTTTATTTACTTTATTTGTGGCTAACTCACATTTACTTACTTAAAATTGATTTGCTTCAAGAATTTATATAATAATGAACGACACATATGCATAAGTGGGCATTTCATTATTGAAGAAAAAGCTGTGTACTATCTGTCATCTGTTATCTGTCGTACAGATGTTTTAACTCTTTCATCGTATGTTGCAAGGATCGACAAGGTCGACCGCTAATATTTTTAGGGCATCTTACTATTCCAGTCTGCATATATTCCTTAATTGTTCTGTAAATGAATTTGCAACAACTAAAATTAGCATATTACTTTACGAAGTCTTGATTTTAACAATAACTATTCTGCAAAACTAACCTGTTGCTTGTTTTATTTTTGCTACCATGGGTGTTATTTGCATTCCAGGATAATCAATTTTTATTTGTTTTTATATGTTTATAATGCATCGTTTTTCATTTGATGATAAATAACCCAAATCTATTCGGCGTTTTTAAGTGGAGAAGGATAATTACCACCAGTACTTTGCATTGAATCCATATTGTTATCTTAATAACACTAATACGTCGCTAAATAGTTCTGAAAAGAACTGTTTTTTTATATAAATGTTAACAAAAAATCCAAAAATTAAAGATATAAATTTTTAATTTTAAAATTTCATAAATGTCAAAATTTAGTGGAGTAAACCAATTACAAACAATCATTTCGGCGCGGTAAATTTGAATTACTCCTCCTGGTTAAAAAAAACAAGCCATAGTTTGAAATCATATAATCAAAAAAATATCTAAAACTTCCTCAAGTTGCGCGTCTTTGGTGGAAAATCTAAACTGTAACGATATTGGGGCCAATTCTTTTTCACTGGTGATAGCCACTTCTAACATTTTTTGATATTTTTCCCTACTGATCCTTTCTGATGAGACTCAGGTATTAGATGAAAGGAGGATTAAGGTATAAGATAAAAATTAATAGTTTTGCATGTTACTTGCACATGAACATTATTAATTATAAAAAACTTACATAGATAAAGACTTCTGGTGTATAACGGTATATCTTATTAAACAAATATTTAAAATTTATTAAAAAGGATTACAAATTTTCAAATCGTTTTCGGTCCAGCCAGACCATCATCAATGAAAAACCTGAAAGTATATTTCCACTTTAAAATGACAAAAGCGTAACCCAGACATAGATTAATAGAAACCTTTTGTATTACATACAAATCATTGTAAATTTTAATATTAAAATGACACTATACTACGTTCCACGTTAAGAAAATAACATTGCGGAGATAGGGCCATGTATTTCTTATGGACGATAGAAACGCGGCGTTGCCACGACACACACAAGCACAATTTAGGGCTGTATAATTTGTATTTTCGTTTCCACAGACAAGAATTAAATTAATGTTTTTTAACGTAATTGACCAAAAGTACCCATTCGAAACAAGAGATGAAAAGTAGGGAAAATGATTTTAATTAGATAAATAGTATTTACAAAAGATAATTTTATTTTATCTTATTTTAATTATAGTAACGACAGTTTATTTGTTTTTCGGTGAGCCATGAATCATAGAGATCATTCGAAAATATTGCTTAGTTAAATCATGCATTTTGCCGCCTATTAAAGTTTTAAAAGCAAATAAACGGACTTGGAATGCGTATATCTAATTACTAATTGCAACTTAAAATAATGCGATTTGCGTATGTCAGCGATTTTATGTCGTTCTCTGACTACATAATGGTAATAAAGCTTTTATTTAGTAGTTATTCTGACTTTACAGTTAAATGTTAATTGAAAATGAAAATTCAAAAATTAAGCAAAGGGAATATCTTGGACATCCGTGCAAAAGAGAGTGTCTGAGAGTTTTGGCAACACTGATCTCCATAAGCGTAATGTTATTTTCTTAACTTGAAACAAAGAATAGGTCGATGTTATAAGATTTAACATAAAGGGAATGTACATATTCCCTACTCGAAAGGAGGACTACTTTGTACACTATGAGAATATCCAACTGACAAGGTTGGGGAGGAAGTAAAAATTATTATTAAGATTGATAGGTCCCCAAGACAGAAAGTGGATTTTTGACGACCACTCAAACAATAGCCCAATAAGGATATTGTGTGCAAAAAATTGTTTTAAAGAATTATATTGTAATAATTAAAATTGAAGTGAATTAAAATTAAGTTGAATTAAATTTAATTTAATTGTGAAAGATATAATTTTAGCTAGCAAAAACAAGTTAAATGCTGGAATAGAGTTAATGAATGGTGCTGCATTTGAGCAATGATGTTACCAACTTGGGAATGTGTATTTGTATTGTGATAAAATGATAGTAAGGTAAACTATTACATATTGGTAATAATTATGTTTGCATGGTAATGATTGAAGGAGAAAAACTGATGGAATAAATGAAATTCACTTAATAATATTTCTCATGAGGTTGGTTGTCTATGTAGATAATTATTAGCTAGTTTAAAGAGGGTATAGTAAATTGGATTAACTTAAATACATCTCTATGTGAGAAAAGATATATAGAAAAGAAAATTATGGAAAACATAAGTCTCAACATCAAACTTGACCGATTAATTAAGAATCAATCAATAATGTCTTTTAATTTCTCATTAAAAAAATACAATACAATTATTCTCTTTTTGGGACATTTGCTCTCCTTGGCATATGACCTCAGGAGACTTGGCAAACAAATATTATTCTTTAATATACAAAAAATTATACTAAGGCTAATTCTATCTAAAAAGGGCATTAAAATTAAGAAAAAATAAATTAAGTAAATATTCATATAAATTTTATAATAATAAACTAAATGTGTATATCCTACTGAGTAACACTGAATTTGTCCTTGTCTCACCATAGTAACTGCTTCCACCCTAAGTTCATTTCTACCCAACCACTTTAACCTAATCTGTCTCAACACCAAACATATTCCCAAAAAATCTATCACATCTTCCCATCTCCTTCGTGTTACACATTGAGCAAAGCCTTCTTTCATCATTTCTGCCAGGTCGATCATTCAAATATAAAACTCCATATCTTAATTTGAACATTGTTCTGAAGCTATTTTCTTGTGGCATTTTAAATTAATTACTATATAACTGGGAATAAGCCACAATTAAAGAAAAAAATACGTTTATTGACGTTTCCATTGTATATTTATTCCATTACGAAGCAGTATAGGCACTCTGATTTAATACCTTGAGTTTGTTTTAAATCCGACGTCGGCCGACGTCGCCCGATATCGGATCGGGAGAAATACGGTTCCAATGTAGGTGTACACTAATTCGGAACTATTTCTTTCGATCGTATGTTCAGGTTTAAATGGTTTAAATTATTATATGATTAGTTAGGTTTTATTTGCAAAAAAATATTAAGATTTGTTTTTTATTAACCGTTTTAAATATAAATATGGTTCAAGTATGATTTATTTTTATATTTACGTATATTTAAACTCATAGGTATTTATAATTAGGTTATTTCTAAAAGAACCTTTACAAAAAAAAATCAGTGAATTTTCTAGGAACATTAAATAACACATTTTCATTCTTACTTTTACATAAAATTATATTTTATGTAAATGCCTCAATCATTTTAACCACAACTAAAATTTTTGTTTCAAAAGTACAATACAAAAAACATCACAGCATGGCAACATCCAAGCCAATACATGGGCATAAGATCTGAACCATTATGACATTAAGATAAGACTTAATGTTATTGTCACATTCATAAGAATTATGAATCTGTTATCTGAGGCTAATCGACATTTTTTTTAAACTAGTTAGTCCATCCATTCACAAAATAATAAATATATGTTCTAATTTATTCATTCATTATTTTCTTCTTTAGAAGTTGAGACATAATTTATAATGCAAATCGTTCGCAGTGAACTAGTTCTATGAAAA